GTTGTCAACTCTCTCAGGAGTGAAGACATGTGAGGCCAGCCCCAAGGATGGCAGTTTAAATCACTTCTGGAATTGGAAGGCAGGATACCTCCTTGGTGTGGCTGTCTGAAATGGCCAGCAACACAAGTCTGCTGTGGCCAGCATGCCTCACTGCCTGTGGACCCACGCACCCCACTGAGGCAGACCCACTAACCCCACCACAGAGGTCACACACACCTGACTATGCAGGCCCACAGCTTCTCTGTGGGCTTGCTGGTGGGTAGAGCCAGCCTCTGGCGTGGGCTGCCTACCCTGGCTTCACTTGATTACTTCAGGTGCACTAATTGGCAGGGTAAACCCTTGTGTTAACAGGCTAGAGGAAGGAATCCAATGGCGACTGCCAGTATCGGTGTCAGCATGACTGAACTAGGTCACAATAATGTCTCCTGCCAGTGTCTCAGTTCCTGGGCATTGGACCCAGCTGCATCCTGCCTCTCTGAGATATGCTCCAAGCTTAGTGAGTCTCTTTCACCAATGGACTAGGCACTTTTCTTTATGGTGTTTTTGTGTTAGTTTCCAGAACAGATGAATCTGTGCACAGGATCTTTAAGAGCAGGTTTCTCTTACTCTCAAGTTTGATAGTTTATCTGGGGAAATTCCCCATTGGTTTTCAAAGCCAGCAAAGGCAGGTGTTATGGAATCTCTTCTTGGTTGTGCTGAACTAAGGAATCAGATGCTTATTATGGCATAGATTCTCTGCTCAGATCCACTGCTCCTCTGGGAAAAGGTGATTACTTTGAGATCACTCTTGGCCATGAATCACTGTGGCTAGGATGCTTTTTTCCTCAGCAAAGGTGTATTTCTGCCTCTTCTACCCCTGTCTGTGTTGTTCTTTGTTGTGGAGATTCTTTTTACACAGTTTCCAGATCTCTCTCAGAGAAAAGTATTCCACAGGCAGTTGTAGATTAGTTGTGTCCATGGGAGGAGATGAATTCAGAGTCCTCCTATGCTACCATCTTGCAAACTTTTTCTCAAAATCAATGTTTTTCTATGTGCTTTTTTATGGCTCTTTTTCATATGTTTTCCATGTCTAATAATTGAGATGTTTTCCATCTTTAAATTGCACTTTGTAAAAAATAATAATTTTTCAAGCTGTATTGGTCACAGCATACAATAAGAAATGTGCTTGATATTGTGATTTGGTGTTAATACACCTAACTTTTGTGAAACAAGGCTCATCAGTATTTCATGAGATGCACTGCAATATGTTCTAACCTACTTTTTTTCTGTAAAATACTGCTATTTCCTAAATGTATTTTACTTTCTTCTCATTAATGTTATTGGCCAAATATGAGAAAATTTTGTAATTCATGCTTCACATCTTAATTGAGATAAGTTCTGTGTCCCAACAGTGTGAGACACAGAGACAAAGATCTTGGGTCTCCTTTTTATAAGAGTAAATCACAGTTACACTGTTCATGTCGTGACAAGTTTGTACACAGTGTTCACTGGGCACAGTTTCAATCCCACACTTCTGAGGGTTCAATTTGATGTGATAAGCCACCTTCTCCTACAGTCTCATCCTTACATGACAAGTTCTGGGTGTTAAATAATTCATCCACATTCTGTTCTGATTTCTGCTCAGTCAGGTGAAGTCATCTTTCTACAACTTACTGTTTCCTTTCTTTTCTCCAATAGATTGTGCCTTATTACTATTAATCTGAAGATTCTTTATTTTATGGAGGTGAACATTGATCATCAAGTTCTAGAGCACAATTTTCTTCTTTCCTAAAATTTTCAAATCTGAGCTTCTCTCTGCCTGAATGATTTTGATTTCTTACATGGCTTTCTCTCTCTTCTTTAGTTCTTTACTTCAATGTCATGTCCAATAAAATAAAAAATGTGATTAGATGCTAAATGCTCTCTGAAACCTGAAAAATGTTTTCATCTGGTCTTTTTATCAGTTTCCCTTAAAATTAAGTATATTTTTTTCTCTCCTGTTTATTTTTACAATCAATGTTTTAGGAACATCTGGGCATTTATTTAACATTTTCCATACCAAACATAGCCCATGGCCCTTTTTCCATCATTAAATATATTTATGTGTTGTAACTTTTGAATCTTAAGGTAAATATTAGACTTAAAATGTTGTTTTACACAAAACATCTAATGGTTGTATAACCGTAGTTTCAAGCATAAACAAATTATGTAATACATACAAATTATGTATATGATGTTAAAAATATTTGTATTTTATTAAGTGTGATAATTGTTCTCTTTATTTTTTTATCTTCATTCATCATATATGTACTAAAATTTCTACAAACTAAAATATATGGTATCTTATATTTAATTCACCACCAGAATAATTAGAGTGTATAGTTGAAAATAAAAGGCAAAATAATGAGATTTGTTGAAGACATGTGATGGATACTTACAACGGGATCTATTATATAATTATACTTATCATTGTTAAGATTTAGAAAATTCCATGATATCTTTTAAATAATTTAAGATTTTTTATGGTCTAATGACATCAGCAAGATGGTGGAATAGAAAGCACTGGACTCTCCTTCTCCTCGTAGACACACTGATTCAGAACAATTTGCTTTGTGAGAAATCTAGAAACAGCTAAGAGGTTTCTGCATAATGGGTGAGCATAAAACCAGTCACATCAAAGACAGTAAGAAAAATGGAGATATTCTTTCCCAACAAGTTCGACCCAGATGCTATAGACTGAATATATAACCCCCGCAAAAAAAGAAAAAAAATTGTATGTTATACCTAATTCCTAAAGTGATGGTTATTTGTAGGTGAGAATTTTGGGAGGTGATTGGATTATGAGGGTAGCGCGTTCATGAACAGGACTAGTGCCCTTACAAAAAAGTCTAGGTGGCTCCCTTATCCCCTCAGTCAAATTAGGACACAGCAAGAAAATGGGTCTCTATGAACCAGGAGGCAGGCTCTCATCAGACACTGTACTTGCCAGCACTTATATTTTGGGCTTCCAGCCTCCAGCAATGTGGGAAATAGATTTCTATCTCATAAGCCACCCAGACTATGATATTTTGTTATAGCAGTCCAAATAGATTAAGATGGAAATAGGTGCCAAGAATGGGTTGTTGCTGTCACAAATACCTAAAAATGTGAAAGCAGTTTTGGAACTGGATAGTAGGTAGAAGCTGGAAAAGTTTTATGTTCATGTTAAGAAAAGCCTATGTTTCTGTGAACATATTAAGGATAATTCTAGTGAGGGCCCATAAGAAAAAGAAGAGAGCTGTAGAGAAAGCCTCAATCTTCTTAGAGAATAAGTAATTCTGAACAGAATGTTGGTAGAAATATGGACAGCAAAAGATATTGTTGGGGAAGAGGGAGAATCCCTTCCTGCCCTTTCCCTTAAGCTTCTTATGGCTGGCCAAATAATTAAAAAGGCAGGTTAGCAGGAGAAAATCAAACAAACTGTAATAACATGTATACATGGCAGAAACTCAGAAAACAAACTGATCAACTCGTCATTCTGACTAAGCTGCTCACTTATTTTCAGCTAAAGGTGAGGAGGGTTTTGGGAGGGTAGTGGTTTGGAATTTCAGAGGGGAATAAGACAATTCACATGGAGATGGGAATGCAAATGTTTGTCTGACAACTCTTTTCAGGGCCGCCTAGAGAATGTGGCCTGGGAGAGACAGAATTTTTGATAAAATGGGCTTGGTGCCTTTCTTATTGCAGCATCTATTTTACCTTATACTACAGCCATCATATTGGAGTGGCTCCTTCCTGAAACAGGCCTTCCATGTTAAATTCTTTAGGCAGTTAGTGGGGGAGGTCAAATGTTCTTCCTGAGTTTTCTGAGCCTTTATTGTCTTTAGCTTCAAATAATCATGTACCAGATGCATCTTAGCGTGGCCTGTCCTGAACACCAACATGCAGATGAGATCTCAGATAAGAAAAGTAATGTGTTATTGGACAAGGTAGGAAAGGTGATTCTTGTCATAAAGTGGCAAAGAACTTCACTTAATTGTGTTTCTCTTAGTGTTTTGTGGAAGGTAGAATGTGTGAGTGATGAAATTGGATATTTATCTAAAGCAATTTCTTTGCAAAATGCTGAAGGAGTTGCCTGGTTTGTCCTGGCTTTTTATAATAAAATATGAGAAGAGACAAATGATTTCAAAGTGGAATTGTTAATAAAAAGAGAAGTAGAGCCTAAACACTTGAAAAATCCTCAGCTTATCCATATTGCAAGAAGTGAGAATGTTTGTGGCCAAAGGATCTTTTGATAGATTAGTCAGCCTTCTTGACAAAAGCTGGGAGCTGTTGTTAAAGATAAATGAATGACTCTCTTTCCTCCCAAGTCAATTTTGAGATCATCCGTGTTGCCACTCTAATCATAGGCCCAGAATGTGAGGGCCCAGAGACGGATAATTCCAAAGGACAGGACATTGGAACTGTGGGACTTTGCAAACCTATTCCAGAACCATCCTCACATTGCAGGTTCTACTTTCCACACTCAGAAGCCATGCTCCTGAGTTGCCCCATGTGAGCAGTTGTGGCTCTGCTCAGCCAGGAGTGGAACAGGTGCTGGCCACCCCTTCAGAGGGTACAGGCAGTAAAATATGGTGACATTCACATGGCACTCTCCCTGCTGGTGAGTAAAGTGCATGAGCAATGTGGATGTGGTACTTCCACTTAGATTTTAAAGGATGCCCAGCACAGCATGGGCATAGGCACATACCCTAAAAGAGTCACAGGTAGAAAACAACCCCACAGTGAGGCAGGGATGTGATCAAGTCATGGGGGTTTGGCTGCCTGGAGCCATGGGGGACCAAATCATTCCCAGCAAAGCTTTAGGGGGAGGAATGCTGCCCCAATGTGTCCAGAGGGTGGGACCAGTGTGTTCAGAGGGAACCCCTGTCCCAGCATGTTCAGAAGGTGGTACCTCTCTCCCAGTGTGTCCAGAATGCAGCTCCTCCACCCCAGTGTGTCCATAAGGGGGTCTTCCAGCCCAGTGGGCCTGAAGTGCAGAGCTTTGAGTCAAAAAAGAATATTCTTGAGGCTCGAGGTTTAATGATGTTTACCTTTTTGGATTGTAAACTTGCTCAGAACCTGTCACTCCTTTCTTCCTTCTTTTTCCTCCCTCTTGAAATGGAAGCATCTGTCTTATGGCTGTCACTCCACTGTATGTTGAAAGCATATAAGTTGTTTGGATTCACAAGTTCACAACTGAAGAGGAATTTTCCTTGGAATAAATTTTGTCTTGAGTTTCACCCACATCTGATTTACATGATACTTATTTTATTTTTTTCAGCTTTATGGATATGTAATTTACATGTACATTGTGTAAGTTTAAGGGGTAAAATGTGATGTTTTGATTATGCTATAATAAAATGATTAGAAGACGAGATTTAGATGAGACTTTGGACTTAGTCTTTTTATTTTTTATTTTATTTTATTTTTTTAATTTTCCCCCCAAAGCCCCAGTAGATAGTTGTATGTCATAGTTGCACATCCTTCTAGTTGCTGTATGTGGGACATGGCCTCAGCATGGCCGGAGAAGCGGTGCATCGGTGCGAGCCCGGGATCCGAACCCTGGCGCCAGCATCGGAGCGCACGCACTTAACCGCTAAGCCACAGGGCCGGCCTATGGACTTAGTCTTTTTAGATAATACTAGAATGAGTGTAGACTTTGGGGCTATTGAGAAGGAATGAATGTATTTTTCATACAAAAGGACATGAATTTTGGGGGATCAGGGACAGAATGCTATAAAGTGAATGTTTGTGTCCCCCAAAATTCATATGTTGAAACTTAATCCATATTGGTGTTTGCAGGTAGGGATTTGGGGAGGTGATTAGATCATGAGGCTGGAGACATCATAAATGGGATTAGTGTCCTTGTAAGAGATAACCCAGAGAGCTCCTTTACTCCTTCCTCCTTATGAAAACAATATGAAAAGATGACCACCTATCAACCAAGTGGTGCTTATCAATACCACATTGCCTTGGGCTTTTATCTTGGAGTCTTATCCTTTAGAACTGTAAGAACTAAATTTCTGTTGCTTAAAAGCCACCTAGTTCATGATATTTTGTCACAGCAGTTGAACAAACTAAGACACCCCAGAGTAGTACCACACAATTAAGAAGAAGCCCCAGCTCTTAGCTTCTCCCTGGGAAGGGAAAAAGTGGACTTTCTTGTTCAATGTTCCAAATTTTCCAATGAATTCCCAAGGAACTAGATTCTGTATTACCTTTCTCAGAGCGCTGATGGAACCCAGCATACCATAGGTTACTGGGGACCGCTAAGATAAAAGACTGTGGTTTGGACAAGCCAAAATATTTAGGAGTTGCTCAGATCAAAAGTCAAAGACAGAGAATCTTTAAAGTACAAGGGAAAAGTGATATGTCACGTACAAAGGAATCCCCATAAAAACATCAGTGAATTTCTCAGCAGAAACATTGAAAGCCAGAAAGAAATGGGATGAAATATTTAAAGTGCTGAAAGAAAAAATGACTAACCAAAAATACTTACACCTGGAAAAGATATAAAAATGAAAAAGAGTTTAATAAGGACTAGTATTAATTCTCCCCTAAATATTTCATAGAATTCACCCTCAAAGCCTTGTACTCCTGGGCCTTTCCGTATTGTGAGGTTTTTGGTTACTGCTTCAAACTCCTTAATTATTATTGTCCTGTTCAATTTTTCTATTTCTTCTTAATTCAGTGTTGGTAGGTTGTATATTTCTAGGAATTTCTCGCTTTCTTCAGAATAATCTAATTTTCTGAAAAATATTGTTCATAATAGTCTATTAAATTATTTTTACTTATTTTTCATTGAGGTATAATTGATATATAACACTATATTAATTTATGGCCCTCAACAAATGACTTGATATTTGTGTATATTGTGAAATGATCACCAGTCATACTACTTAACATTAATCAACAAACATATGGTGTATGTTTATACTTTATTTAAGTGATGAAAACTTTTAAGATTTGCTCTCTTAGCAACTTTCAAATATGTAATAAAGTATTATAAACTATAGTCACCATGCTGTACACTACTTCCACATGATATTTATTTTATAACTGGAAGTTTGTACTTTTTGACCCCCATACCTGTTTTGGCCCCCCAGTCCCCTCCTACGCATCTCTGGCGACAACTAACCTGTTCTATGACTCTATAAATTTGTTTGTTTGTTTGTTTAGATTCCACATATAAGTGAGATCATAGGGTATTTGATTTTCTCTGACTTATTTCACTTAGCATAATGCCCTCCTGGTCCATCCATGTTCTCTCAGATGACAAGTTTCCTTATTTTTATGACTGAGTAATATCACATTGTGTATATATTTCACATTTTCTTTATCCATTTATCAATTGATGGATACTTAGGTTGCTTTTTACCTTGGCTATAGTTAATAATGCAGTAATAAATATGACACATGCATATATCTTTTCAAGTTAGTGTTTTTATTTTCTTTGGATAAAAATCCAGAAATAAAATTGCTGGATCATATAGTAGTTTTATTTTTAATTTTTTGATGAATCTCCATATTGTTTTCCATAGTGGCTGCACTAACTTACCTTCCCACCACCAGTGGACAAGTGTTCCTTTTTCTCCACATCCTTACCAACACTTGTTATTTCTTGTCTGTTTGATAACCATTGTAACAAGTGTGAAGTGATATCCTATTGTGGTTTTGATATAAAATTCCCTGATTAGTGATGTTGAGCACCTTTTTATGTACCAGTTGGCTGGCCATCAATATCTTCTTTGAAACAATATCTTTTCAGATTCTCTGCCCATTTTTTAATCAGATTGTTTGTTTGTTTTTGCTATTGAGTTGTATAAGCTTTTTAAAATCTATTTTGGATACTAACTTCTTATCAATGATTTCCAAATATTTTCTCCCATTCAGTAGATTTTCTTTTCATTTTGTTGATGGTTTTATTTTCTGATCAGCTTTTTAGTTTGTTGTAATCCAACTTATTTTTACCTTTGCTTTTAGCATCAAATCCAAGATCATTGCCAAGACTGATGTCAAGGAGTTGACTGCCTATGTTTTTCTTCTAGGAGTTTTATGGGTCACATCTTACGATAATCTTTAATACATTTCCTTATTGTTCAACCTATTTAAATTTAAAAACAAAAACAGTTCCCTCATTTTTCATCACTCATTTTATGCCTCTGGCAACTACCAACTGTTATCTGTATCTATGAGCTTAGCTTTTATGTTATTTTGTTTTTTATGTTTTTTAGATTCCACATGTGAGAGACTATATAGCACTTATTTTTCTCTGACTTATTTTACTTAGCATAATGCCCTTGAGGTACATCCATGTTATCACAAATAGCAAGACTTTATTTTTTATGGCTGAATAATATTCTATTGTATATACATATATACAATGATTTCTTTATCAATTTATCCATCAATGGACAAAGGTTTTCTCTATATCTCGGCTATTGTAAACAATGTTGCAATGAACAACATTGGAGGTGCATATATCTTTTCAAATTAGTGTTTTTATTTCCTTCAGATAAATACCCAGAAGTGAAATTGCTCGACCATATGGCAGTTCTATTTTTAAGTTTTTGAGGAACTTCTGTACTATTTTACATAGTTTCTGCGCCAATTTACATTTCCAACAGTGCGCAACTATTCTCTTTTCTCCACTTCCTTGCCAACAGTTGTTATTCTAGTCTTTTTAATAATAGCCATTCTATCAGGTGTGCAATAACATCTCATTGTGGTTTTGATTTGCATTTCCCTGATGATTATTGAGGTAGAGCATCTTTTCATGTAGTTGCTGGTCATCTGTATATCTTTTTTTAGAAAAAATGTCTATTTAGTTCTTCTGCCCATTTTTTAATAGGATTGTTTGTTTTGCTATTGAGTTGTATGAGTTCTTTATATATTTTGGCTATTACCCCCCTTCAGATACATTATTGGAAAATATTTTCTCCCATTCAGTAGGTTGCCTTTCTATTTTATTGATAGTTTCCTTTGTTGTGCAAAAGCTTTTTAGCTTGATGTAGTCTCACTTGTTTAGTTTTGTTGCTTTTGCTTTTGGTGTCAGAGGCAAAAATCATTGCCAAAATTGATGTTAAGGGATTTACTATGTTTTCTTCTAAGAGTTTAATGGTTTCAAGTCTTATATTCAAGTCTTCAATCCATTTTGAGTTAATTTTTGTGTATGGCATAAAATATTGATCCAGATTTATTCTTTTGCATGTTACTGTCCAGTTTTTCCAACACCATAAATTGAAGAGACTCTCCCGGTTACGTATTCTTGGCTCATTTTTTTAAAAATAAATTAATTGACCACATATGTGTGGGTTTAATTCTAGGATCTCTATTGTGTTCCATTGATCTATATGTCTGTTTTTATGCCAATACCAGACTATTTTGATTACTATAACATTGTACAATATCTTGAAATTAAGAAGCGTGTTTTTCAGCTTCGTTCTTTTCAAGATTGCTTTGTCTATTTGTTTTTTGTAGTTCCATGCAAATTTTAGGATTTGTTTTTGTTCTATTACTGAGGAAACTGTCACCAGAATTTTGATAGATATTTCATTTAATGTGTTCATTGCTTTGGGTAGTATGGACATTTTACAATATAAATTCTTCTAACCATAAGCATGGAATATGTTTCCATATATTTGTGTCTTCCTCTATTTATTTAATTAATGTCTTGTAGTTTTCAATAAATAGATCTTTCACCTGTTAAATTTATTTCTAGATATTTTATTCTTTTTGATACAATGTAAATGGGATTGTTTTCTTAATTTCTCTTTCTGATAATTCATTATCAGTGTATAGAAATGCAATGGATTTTTGTGTATTGATTTAGTATCCTGCAACTTTAATAAATTTGTGCATTTGTTCTATTTCTTTGATGGCATCTTTAGAGTTTTCTATATATAATGTATATTCTGCAAAATATTACAGTTTAACTTTTCTTTTCCAATTTGGAGGTCTTTATTTTTCTTGCCTAATTTACCTGGCTAGGTCTTCCAATACTATGTTGAAT